GCGTGAAGGAGAGATGCGAGGGCACGAACACTGTTCAAGGTCTCCGTTAATTCGCTTGTAGTAATTTAATGTGTATATATTTTGAAAGCATGAATCGCGATTCGTTTTAAATCGATTACTGTCCTAAACTGTCTGATGCATTGCATCGTCAGGGTTTGTAATCGATGCATCGAGAAAACGAGTGAATCGTTACACCCCTAGAAATAGTGTTTGAGAAACCGCAAACACACTTGTAACAGTGTACAGTAACAGTAATGTAACAGTAACATCACTTCTGCATGGGCTGTAAGAAATAGACATAAATATAAACAATGAAGACAGAGGTGTTATAAACAAAGATGATAAGTGAGATATAAACAATAGAACAATATATATGAAGATAGGACTATATTTTACATTTAGAAAAATACAATATAAAATTCAATGTAATATGTAGTGCAAATACACAGTGTAATGTATGTGTGTGTGTGTGTGTGTGTGTGTGTGTGTGGTGTTGCACTTTCTGTTTCTTAGACATGTTTATACACCTTAGTGTTTGGGAGTGGAAGGAGGGTTGGAGGAGGATTTATGCATTTGACAGATTGTTTTTTTTAGAAGAAGCTGTTTTTTAAGTGTTCATTTTTTTTGTTTTGAATGATCTGTGTCTCTTCCCATAGGGCAGAAGGGAGAACAGGTGATGTCCAGCATGAGTGGGGTCCTTTATAATACAGCTGGCCTTCTTTTGGAGTCGGCCAGTGTAAATGTCTCTGAGGGGAGGTAGTTTTGTGCCGATAACATGCTTTGCAACCTTCACCACCTGCTGCAGGTCCTTCCTGTTCTCCTCAGTGCATCTGGTAAACCGCACTGTAATGCAGTAGGTCAGGAGGCTCTCTATTGATGACCCTAAAAAGTTGGTCAGTAGGTGGTGAGGAAGGTCAGCATGTTTCAACTTCCTGAGGAAGTAGAGTCACTGTTGGGCCTTTCCCACCTGATGGGACAGGTCCAGGTGAGGTCAGCCAAGATCTCAATGCCAAGGAACTTAAAGCTCTCTACCCTCTCTACCTGATTCCCATATATGCAGAGGGCAAAGCGCTCAGTGTGCCTGGATCTACGGAATTCAACTATACCTTGGTACCAAGTTTTTTGGTTTCTGAGATGTTTAAGTCCAGGTGATTGAGGGAACTCCATTCTGTCAGTAGCTGAATTTCCTTCTTTAGGCTGTTTCATTATTAGCACTTTTTCACAGAAATTACCAGGAACAATTTGTCCCAGGAACTTTTTTCCCCCAGACCTGTTGCTGTCTGCGTATCCATCGCGGTCTAAAGTACCGAGAAGATTAGGCAAATAGTCTGGTGACGTAGGTCTGCCAATACCAATACCAATGGTCTCAATACCAAGTACGCAAAGTTCGGACTTGCATCCTCGGTAGTTCGGACTTCGCGAGTTAGACTCAGGAGTGTGAACTCCCACGGACGGGACGACGCAAGTACGGTAATTCTGCAAACAGCAGCATACTTGATAACATCAGTCAGCTCACCTTGGCTACTGCCATTTTCCTCACTGTATTTACAATAAGACGACAAATACCAAATACCACTGCCCCTTTTCATTTTCATTTAAACATATTAATAGCCGCAGAAATGTTCAGACATGGCCTAACAAATAATAGATTCATGAGACCACGAATGCCTGTTAAATATAGCCAACACAAAACTAATTGTATCGCATGTTTAATCACTACAGAGACATCAGAGCCAGCGGCAAATGTCGGAAGGTCTAGCCCAGCTAAGGCTGCTCTATGCGGATACATGAGCACAGCACCCGGTGATCGCCTAGAGCTCCGAAATCGGCATAGCAAATTTTCAAATAGGCGCTGTTTTTATAAATAAACAGCAGATTTGAGTTTTAAACAACTACATTCTCTCCTGAAATACTTTTAAAACTACGTTTCATGACACAATAACAGTAATATTAAAAAAAATAATGATATATGCAAATGGTGGTTGAAATACAATGCTGCGTGAACTCAACCAATCAGCATGTTCAGCACTCAAGTCCCGCAAATAAACCACAGATTTGAGTTTTAAACAACTACATTTTCGCCTGAAATACTTTTAAAACTACATTTCATGACACAATAACAGTAATATTTTGAAAATGATGTGAATATATGGTGGTTGAAATACAATGCTGTGTGAACTCAACCAATCAGCATATTCAGCACCCAAGTCCCACCCCTGAAAGTTCCGGACCTTTGAAAAAGTACTACCTCGCAAGCAGGGACTTTCTGAGGGGCAATTTTTTACCCGGAACTTTATTTAGATCCTGGTGCCTGCGGTGGAAACACACCGAGTACCGGCCTAAAGTCCCTAGTTCCTGGGGAAAGTTCCTGCAGTGGAAACGTGGCTTAATAAGAATCTTTTTAGTGGTCGAAACTGATCTCTAGAGAGCGGAGTATATATTTAAGTATACAGTGGGTACGGAAAGTATTCAGACCCCCTTAAATTTTTCACTCTTTGTTATATTGCAGCCATTTGCTAATGAGGAAAAAAAATTAACTTAAATGATTTTAGCAAATGGCTGCAATATAACAAAGAGTGAAAAATTGAAGGGGGTCTGAATACTTTCCGTACCCACTGTATATACAATACCACTGAATGAAAACAAATAGATGAGTAAATAAGTACACTATTTGTTTTAATTTGAATTAATTTATTTTACACATTATTATATTATTTACTTATAGTTTTGTCTCACTTCGTTCCTGTGTTTTAAAGCTTACGGGGGTGAATGACAAGATGGCTGAGTATACAAGCACACCAGGAGTAACGTCTCTGAACGCTGCTCTAATGCACACTCTCCAGAGGCACAGAGACATCCTACAGGTGAGTTTCTTGTCATTTATAATCTCGTCTCATTTGAACACAGTAATTTACATGATTGTCCTTAAACAACTGGTTGCCCAATTATTAATAAACGTGTACTGTACACTACTGTTCAAAAGTTTGGGGTCAGTAAGATATTTATTCATTTATTTTGTTTAAAGGGGTCATATGATGCGATTTTCAATTTTTCCTTTCTCTTTGGAGTGTTACAAGCTCTTGGTGCATAAAGAATATCTGTAAAGTTGCAAAGACTAAAGTCTCAAATCCAAAGAGATATTCTTTATAAAAGTTCAGAGTCAGCCACACCTACCTAAAACGGCTCTTTCTAACACGCCCCACATATCTACCTCACTATGTGGGAAGATTTGCATAACGCCGCCCAAATGTTCACGCAAAGAAAGAAGGCGTAACTTTTATTCTGTAAAAATCGATGCGTTTCAAAAAGGCGGGGCATAGAGGAGAAACAATAATGTACAGTATGTGGAAAATAATGTGTTTTTTGAACTTTAAACCGCATAAACACATTTCATTTCACCAAATACACAAAATAATGTTCTTTTTAGAAACATCATATGACCCCTTTAAGAAATTAATGCTTCTATTTTAGCAAGGTTGCCATGAATTGATTAAAACGGACAGTAAAGACAATTATAATGTTATAAAAGGTTTCTATTTCAAATTGTTTATTTTCTTTTGATTCATCTAAGACTCCTGAAAAAAATGTTTCCACAAAAATATTATGTTGCAACATTTTCAACATTGATAATAAAAAGAAATGTTTTTTGAGCACTAAATCAGCATATTAGAATGATTTCTGAAGGATCATAAAGGATGGAGTAATGGCTGCTGAAAATTGCATAAAATGTTACGATAGAGCACAGTTATTTTAAGTTGCAGTAATATTACTGTTTTTACTTTATTTTGATCAAATAAATGCAGCCTTGGTGAGCATAAAATTCTTTGTTTATAAAGATTTAAAAAATAACCTCAAACTTGCAAATAGTGTACTTATGAAGACTGTATTATCAAGAGGAAAGTGCACTTCATGTATTTGACATGAATATAGCTGACCTAGCTTGTTATTTATAACCCCTTAGTCTCTGTTTTCCTTATCTAGGACTACACACATGAATTTCATAAAACCAAATCAAACTTCATGGCAATCAGGGAGAGAGAGGATCTTCTGGGATCTGTGAGAAAAGACATTGAGTGAGTTTTCTCTTTAATTTCCTTTTGAAACCAAAAAGGTTATGAACACCAGTTCCATGTAATGTGTAATTAACCTGTATTATGAAACCTTCTTTTATGTGTAATGAAAATTCTCTCCAAACACATGGTTTCTGTTCACAGTTCAAGCTGTTAGTCTGATCTTTATATCTCCATGCTGTTTCATCCAAGAGCAAAATTCTTTACATTTCTTTCTCACATTTTCTGTGCTGATTGCGAAGGAATCATTTAATTATCATCAATTAAAAACGTGCTAAACCAATATGAGAATATTACACTCTTATTTTAGTATATTTAATAAATAAATACATAAAGACCATGCACGCTTTCTGTGAAGTTCTGCAGGCACAGATTTGTTGTAGTGCTGGTTGTAATCCTGAGATCGTGACTGCGGGGCTGAATAATGACTTATTGATCTGAGCCGCAATGCTCTAGCACCTCTATGGGCGGCTTATTTAATTTGTGTGTCTTGAAATAGTTGTTGTGGTACCATATATGATGAGAAAAACTGCTCCATACTGCTTATTTTTTAGTCTAAATAAACTGACTGTCAGAATTGGATTTGAGCTCAATCCATCTCTTGCAGCATTGTTTATAAGGCCTGTATTTACACAAGTTAGGGGTACATCCCTTTCTGCTTCATCTTCAGCCACGTTCCACTCACCTGACCAGCAAAAACTTGTTAACCCAGTATAGAGAACAGCACGTCGGTAGATTTCATTCACTTGTGCATCAAATTGAGTGGGTTACACTTAGAATGTTGCACAGATTTGACCTAATCAGACAGTACTCTGATGAAATTATACTGTATATAACCCAGGAATAGAGCATTCTGATTATTAATATGCTGAACATACATTGTTTTACAACCGTTCAAGATTTAGGGTCAGTAAGATCTTTAAAAATTGATTATGAAAGACGTCTCTTGTGCTTACCAAGGCTGCATTTATTTGATAAAAAATACAGTAAAAACTGTTATATTTTGAAATAATTAAAAATAACTGTTCTATTTTAATATATTTCACCTTTTCGCATCACATTTATTTCTGTGATGCAAAGCTGAATTTTCAGCAGCCATTACTCCAGTCTTCAGCGTCGTGCTGCTTAAGATTTTTGTGGAAATTGTGATGCATCCCCCTCCCACACACAATTCTTTGATTAATAGAAGGAATATTTTTATATTTTATATCATATTTTTTTAAATAGAAATCTTTTATAACATTATAGATGTCTTTACAGTCACTTTTGATCAGTTTAATGTGTCTATGCTAGGGGTTTATGTGATGAAAGTCGAGTCGAAGTCGACTAGTCGCTGATGACGTCATTAATGAACAAATAAATCTGGAGCTGTGATAAACAGCTTGTGCACAGCTATGGCATATGACACAGCGCTGCCCACATGGCTGTTGCTCCTATAACAGCTTTTTTTATCAGTTCTTTTGTCTTTAAGTCGTTATATTTCTCACAGATTTCTGCTCGTTCTAAATCAGATACAGATAAAGTAGCACAGTAAAGATTACACTAATATGAATGCATTAGTGAGAGAGCGATTGCGTGTGTAAATACCTGGCAGCGTCTCTCTACTAGTAGTGAAGCTGTGGGATTTAGTTATTAAGAAATATATGCTTGAACTTTTCAGTTTCTAAGCTATTTTATTGAGAAATCACAGAACAGTGTTGACAATACATTTCCG